TGCACAGGAGTGATTGGTCTGTCAAATTACTGTGTACAGTGTGCAGGAATTGGATGCCTTTGCAAATGGACAGAGCTGTTTCAAATAACCTTAGAGCCACTTTTTAGGACTGGAAGGTTCCGTGAACTCTTTGACTTCCTAAGAAATGCTAATAAGAATAGCTTTTCCTCAGTAAGAAATTTTTAGTCCTTCTCAATAAGAAACCTCTCTGCTTCAGGCTGCTGTGAAAGCTCCTCTATACATGTTCTTGACTTGTTTTTCAGCCCAGCCATCTGCAGACAGTGAGTAACTACAGGAAAGTTCTTGCTTGCTCTTGCTTTCCCTGGCTAAGGTAATTTTTTCTGGAGCCCACTGCACCATATGACTGACAACCTGAAGCTGTTGCCTGCATTCACAGAAATTCCAGCATTAACCTGTGGTCAGTTACATCCTATGAAGTTCAGCTCTCTCTCTTAAGGAGGTAGAATATCTTGGCATTAGAATATACATGCTTACTCATACTTATTTTGGTTAACATTAACATGAGGAAGCATTCTCTTAGGCATACTCATGTTGCCAAAGGAATTGGATAGTTGTGTATGCAGGTATAAAAGGCGCTCTAAGGAGCGATTAACTTGGTGGCTGGAACAGGTGAGAACTAGGCTCTTGGTTAGTTCAGTTATGGTATATCTTATTGCCATCTTTAATATGCAGCTACAAATGGAAGGCTTTTCAGTGTTATTCAGTCTTACCGTGCTAAGATTTCTAATTAGTCTGATGCAGTTTTCTTCTTGTCAAGTGACCCTGCCTGTCCGATAGTGGAATTAAACCTAGATTATGTATGTTTGACGGGCAAAAGTTTGAAATGTCGTTCCTTTGTTAACATCTTCACCATGGGTGGCCTCCCAGTGGGATGTCTGCATTCCTGATAGCTGCTGAACAGTTAGTTGGAGCTCCATTTTCTTTCACCTCTCAGCCTACTGCTGCCATTAGGAGAGCAGTCCTTCAGTGTGTGTTCATCTAGGGATTCATTGGACTCTTCTCCAGGTAAATGGAACTTTTTTGAGTAGTACTGTGTGCTATTTGGAGATACCCACTGCATCAATGCATGCATGGGCAGTTGCTTGAAGGAGACGAGTTACTTATCTGTTAACTATTCTTTTCACAATCTGCCCTTCTTTCCTCTTTGCCCAAGTCCCTGAGAGATTTCTAGGGAATAGGAAGAACTGAAAAAGAAACATATTCGCCACTCATTTTATGGCCACAAGCAGAGATAATTTGTGCATGCCCCTCTAAATACTGTTCAAACAAATTATTTCTGCTAATGGTACTCATATAGAAGTGCACGAACTGTGAATAAACATGAAGTATGTGTCGAACAAGGGTTAAAGGCAGGTAGTCTTTCTGAAGTTCTTCAGGTGAAGTGGCATGGAATAATCCAGTGCTTTGTCCACTGGCATGCTCTAGACTTACTACCCTGTGTTTGTGGAGGGTGATTTTCCAGCTGTTTGGCTGGTGAAGGCCATGCAGCTCTTTCCTGCTGTTCTGTGAGGACACTGTTCAGTCACCCACAGTGGGACTATTGCTTTGTTCCAGCTATATTCTCTGTATTTCAGCTACTGCCATCCTGGTATTTCAGGATGTGTGAGAGAAGATCTCAAGATATGTCTTCATTCTTGCTTTCTGGAGTAACTGGATACCATAGCCCTTAAGTTATGTTCTAGTAGAGGCACAACTCTGACAAACACTGATCATTCAAATGATGTAATTGTATACGTTGAAGAGACACACATCTATAGAGGGATACACATTCATATTCAGTACCACAGTTGTTGCAGTGTGACTTTGCTTTTTGCATCCAAAAATGTCTAGATCTTTCAAGCTAGACAACGCATGATGTGGTTTCAACTGTTTCTGGTTAATGTCTTTTTGGGACGCAAAATATTGAGGGTGGAAATAATGTGCATGGTAGATGCAGCCCACATATGTGTAAATATCAAATATTCTTATCCATTTTAATAATGTGATCTTTGTTCCAAATGGATGCCATCTATTTAAAGTCAACACAATTGAGAAGGCTTTGGCCTTATTTAAGTTTCTACTTAAAATGGCTCTTGCATATCCTCTGCATTTTGGAGGGATTTCAGTTGAAGCTCTCCGAAGTGCATCCATTCTGTGCCAGCATAGATGCTGTTGTGGGGAGCAACGTGGAATGGTGATGTATCAGTTTTTCTCCCCAAATATGGGGAGAGTTCCTTAAGGTCAGAGGATTCAGTGGTGGGGGAGTCTGCTAATACAATGATGTGAAACACCTAAATGGGAGAATCTGCTGTTTGAGCTCTTAAAAAGCTTTATCTTCTTTTACTGACAGAAGAAACGTGAAAATAACAAATGAGATAATGTGACATTTCCTAACTAGAATTTCCTTTTTCAGTAAGTTCTATAAAAATAGTTCGTTTGCTAAGTTCTTGACTATTCTAGATACTTGATCATCTTTTGAATCAAAGAATCTGCAAGAGGCCTGCATCTAAAAAGCTTTTTTACAAAAGTTTAAAAGTAAAGATCACCTGTCTTTATTGCAAGATCTTGCAAAGCACATAGTTGAGCGCTGCTGATACAGAATCATTTGTTTGAAAAACAAGTAGATATCACCAGCTGAACCTGTGAATAACAATTCTTACAACAAGCATATTTTCTAAAAACCCTGCAAAGCTCTTTCCTGAATTTTATGAGCGTGAGATGTAGAAAATCCAACCAAATACTGTAGGCAGAGCAGAGTTGGAAGACCCTGCCTTGTACCTCAATAGTTTACTGCTAATGACAAAGAAACTCGGCCCTTGCTAGTAAATGATATAATATGAAACGTTCAGCCTGCTCCAGCGGGCAGTGGTGGCAGTTCTGCACTAAGACCCCAATTCCTTCAGGCTGCACCTTTTCAGTAGGCAGGGAATGTCTGCTGGGCCAGTGTGTGCCACCCTCGTAACTAAATATGTCTCCCTGTATCTTCATGCACGTGTTGACTTGCTCACCACCGTGAACTGTGGTGATACCTCGGCGTGGGAAGAGAAGGACAGTGGGACTGAAGACACCAGGATGTTCCTCCAGCTTCAATCCCTTCTCCCAGGATTAGCTTGTTGTACTGTAACAGCACAGCTGATCCTGTAGGAGCTGTCCATCCAAGGCAGGAAGGAGGCCCTTCCTCCATGGGGAGATGCACGTAGTAGCTGTGCACTGAAGAACGCCGACCTGCGCATGGAGAGGGCCTCTGGAAATTGGGTCCAGTCCCTGCAGTTGCCAAAGTTTAGGCTATGGTTTAGACAAACAGTAGGAAAAGGAATTGTACTTGAGCAAAGCCAGATTGACTGGGGTTGAATGATGTTTGCTCTTTGCTTAAAAGGGCAGTGCCAAGTACTTGATGTGGAAAAATGAGAGAAATGTATTGTAGGTCTTTATGGTGAATGCATCCTTCATTGTCTACGTACCTGAGGCAGTTTGTCTGCATAACACTGTTTTCTCAGCATTTAACTACCTGCTCATTTCCGTTTTCCTTCTCTCCAAAAACACTTGACGACAAAATACCTTTAGTGCTTGTCTGTATGGATGGGCTCCGAGTATGCTGCCGTCACTGTACAGCTCTGCCGTAGCTAATATAGGTGATCTTGTGCGCTCTTTGGGGATTTAGTTTCTGTACTTAGCACAGTTTAATTTCTGTCAAGTCTAAGTTTGTGGAATATTGTCTTCTTCGTTAAAGGGCTATATAATTCTGCTGCTTGTTTATTGTTTTATTCTCTTATCTGAAAAAAAATTTAATATATTTTTTGAGAGCCTTTTAAACTGAGGCTGGAAAAGTTTTTAATTCTTTTTAAAATGACTAAAAAGTAAGCAAGTCACTGAAATGTTGGACCTGAAGTTGCTGGCTTTTCTAACATAAAATAAAATATTGGGGACTCCTTCAAAACATAATTCTGTTTAGAGGCTTTTTTTGTATATTACAAGCAAAGCATGATATAATACAATCTGTATAGTCAGTACTGTTTGGCTATCAGATAATTGTTTGGAGACTGAAAAGCCTACCTTTCCTTGCTGGTATAATAGATTTGTTTTAGGTGTTACAGCTGTTTGTTACGCCTTTTCAATGTTTTGCTTTATTAGAGATTAAAATCTTAATGTGCTTATTTAAAAAAAACCCCAAACCTAGAAAAAAACAAACCACAAAAAGGTGTTCAGATACACATGCTGACAACACCTTCCATTGCCCCTTCTGTCATTGCTTGTACCTCTAGACATACCAAACAAAAGATAAAGTCTAAAATTTAGGAAAGACTGCTTCATACTTTTGGAATAATACTTTTAAGACATCTTAAATTTGTAAAAAAAAAAGGGCATTTGTATACAGTTACAATTGATGATTTGATTCCTTTCTCTTTAAATTAGGGCTTTAGGTGTGCAAATGTTCTAATTAAGCAAAGTAGAAATGTTAAATGGGTGTTTTACTACTGAAAAGGTAATTTTTTTCTTCAGTAATTCCTTAAAGGAGCTGAGGTGGGAGGGTGCTTTGTTTTAAATCAGAAATTAGGCAGACAATGTGAGCGGGAAATATTACGAGTGTCAGTGTACATGGAGCATGTGCTTTACATACAAGATGAAAATACATGTAACCAGAGAACTTTGAAGTAGGTTTAGCTGAAAACTAATGTTACACTGGAAAGTAATTTGTTATGTGTGGCTAAATGTTAATGTCATGCAGATCTATGTGTATTGTAAATGTCTGTTAGAAAATTGATCCCCAAACTGTAAGTTTTAATACATTCAGATGTCATGAATTGACATAGTTCTGCCTACGATTAGCAAGCTGCCAGATTCTTACAGCTGAAATACTGTAAATTCTATCTGCAGTTACAAATGCCTTCTAAAAAAAAAAAAACAATCTTATCTAAAGTTTTATTTTGAAAGGGGCCATTATATCATCACCCTGTACTAATAAGCATGAAGTGTCTTCATTTTTCGTCATTCCTTTACAGAACAAAAGAGATGAACATCTTTTGAAAAAAAGAAATGTTCCCCAAGAAGAAAGTTTAGAAGATTCTGATGTTGATGCTGACTTCAAAGCAGTAAGTTCCTTGATACTGGAATTACTTTAAAACTTTGGTGGTGTCTCAAGACAATGTATTCTGTTTTCATTTTAACACTGGAAGTATTGCAGTTATTTGAAAGCAAAATTATGAACTTACACGCTGTTAAAATTAGTTTGATTGTATTAAATGTTTAAAAAGAAAATAATTCAGCAACAAAATTACTAAAACTTTTTTTTTCTTTTCAAGCAAAACGTAACACTAGAAGCTATACTGCAGGTATGTTACATTTAACTTTCTTTTTTTTAGAAGTGTGTGTTCTGTGCATTTTTTTAGTTTTTACTGTTTGGGTTGGTTTTTTGTTTTTTTTTCAGAACGCCACAAGTGACAACCCAGTGATCCAACTGAGTGCTGTCCAAGCTGCAAGGTAAAAATAAATAAAGGCACAGAAATGTATTTCCTACACATTTTTCACGATGGAAGTCACTTATTTTACTTTTACATTTAATTTCACAGAAAACTCCTATCCAGTGACAGAAATCCACCTATTGATGACTTAATAAAATCAGGAATTTTACCAATTCTGGTAAAATGCCTAGAAAGGGATGATAAGTAAGTATACTTTTAAAAATGTTCACCTTTACTGAAAATCTGCATCTAAAAAAACATCTCATTATTTCAAATGAAACTGAGGATTCATAGCAGAATATAATCTGACACGTAGATCATGTTCCATGATGATAAACCATAAATTCTCCAGGAGTATTTATTCTGCCACTGAAATGTCATTTTATTTTTTAGAGCTTGCATGAGCATATCCAGCTAATGGAAAATCCTTACTAAATTTCTCATTGGTTTTGAATATTCCAGACTTTTTTGTTAACTGTTTTTAAAAACCTGTCTCGGGCTTACTGTGTGTGTTTGTGTGAAGGCAAAGAACATGCCTGGTTATGAACAGGGCTCTTCTCTTTGCCAGAATACACTTGTCTTTTTCATTAAGTTTATTAGCTTAAGTTTCTAGCTTCTTTCATTCTCACTGCAAGGTGGGTTTCCTTCTTTCTGGCTCTGTGCTGCTCCCTCGTGTGATGGTACAACAGAGTTCTTTGTCGGGAAACAAGAGCTTCAGTAAAGGAGGTAGAGAACATTGAGTGTGTAGTTGCAAGAATTTAATGACATGTAAGAAAAGTGCCATATTCCACAATCCGTGAGCCCCTTATTTGGATAGATGGGGATTAACACATTTGAGGTAAATGTTTTAGCCTACCTTTGGTCTCAGGCAGCCTTAAATGTATTTACAGTATTTCCATTTTCGAGGTTATTTCTCCATCCACGAGGACTAGAAACTTTAAAAAAATGCACATTGACATTTTGGGTATAATTTGGTGGTTGCAAAAACATGAAGCATGAGTAGCTTTGTTTCTAGCTTGTTTAACAAAACAGTTGCTTAGAAGGCAGCTGGCAATAATGTTCAAATCAGGATAGCATTTTAAAATGGGGTGTGAGTGCCTGTCTGCTCCAGAATTAGATGGTTCAGTGCTGTGAAAATTCTTTTAATTTGAATTGTCTGTCTAGCTTTTGTATGATTTACCTTTGTAAATGTTTAATAAGCCTTTTGAAATTGAACTCAACATTTTCTTAAGCAGTCCTTTTAATTGTGATTGCTACATAATATTTAGTAGAGGTAAATTCTGCGAAGACTTTGTATAATAGATTGTTAAAGTTGTTGTTCATGTTATAACTGAAAGCTTATCGCAAGAGGAAGAAAAGAAGGACCAACCTAGAACTAGAATTCTAATGCATTTGATCCTAGAATGTAAAGGTTTATAGATGGCTGCTAACAGGTGCTATTTGTTTTTACAAATCCTTATTTACACATGTTGGGCCCTCCTATCTAATTATTTTCCAATCCCATCCCCAATAAAACCTTAAAATGCTTTGGAAATTAATGCATGAAAAAAGCTTAAAGGAAGCAGGTGCTATGGCCATATGTAAAACATAATTGATGAAGACCCAAAAAAGCATGGAAATGAAAAATAGTCACCTAACAGTAAATACTCTCTGCTCCTCCCAAAGCCAGACACCTTACTGTTATGCTAACCACGATAAGCTGTAAACTCTTACACCTTCTAGAACTCTTAACCTTTAGCATTTGCTTGAACAACAGTTTTCATGGAGGCTGTTTTACTAAACTGCTGTTGGCATGGACAACAGTTGACAGACATCTTGGAAGACATGTTCACACAGCTTTCATAATATTTGTAACTAATTTTATCTGCAGTTAATAAGTCACTTTTAATACAGGTATGGTGCTCTCTTTTTATACTGATCTTTCTCCTGTTTGTGATGGAGCAGAAAAATGTCTTTATCCCAGTATACCAGCTTACGCTTGATCTGGGAGGTAGTATTAGAAGGGCCAAGTTTTTATTAGTTATGGTCAGACATGGTTAATTTATTGAGAACTACTAATGGCAGCAAGGCAGTTGCACTTTCTTCACTAAAGATGAATGGTGTTTGGATCAGTTGGATGTGAAGGGGTCTCTCTTACCCATTAGAGAGGCATAATTAAATTTTATGATGAGGGGTGCCAGAAATCTTTCATACAGGAGATAATTACTTGACTAGAGTAGTGGTCAGCTTCACTGGTTGGTGTGTGCTTCAACAAGTATTACTGCTTTTATTTTTTTTTGTTACTAATATGAAGTCAGAATGATTGCTGGTTTACAAAAGGTCATAGAATGTAAAATCTTTTTTCTTACAGCTTTCCTCTGAAATGTCCAGGCTTAGAGGGTGTTTTTTTTTTTTTTAAAACTTAGCCCAGTGGCACTGCTTAAATGTAGAGTGACCCAGAGTGGATACAGCTAGTAATACTGAAATGAACCATAAACTAATCTGCAGAACATGTTTCAACTCATTACTATAAAATTATTTCCTTACAGTCCTTCATTACAATTTGAAGCTGCATGGGCATTGACTAACATAGCATCAGGCACTTCCGCACAAACTCAAGCTGTTGTACAGTCTAGTAAGTATTACAGTTTGTTTTTCGGGGGGTGGTGGCTGTTGTGGGTAAAAGGGAAAAGGGCATATTTAGATAACAAATGGCATTTGTTATCGAAACCATTAAAGTAATAAATGCGTGTCTGTCCTCTTTCTCAAAAAATTTCTACATTTGCTCTTAAACATTAATCCATTTGTTGCTAATGATTAATATTAAGGATCCCAGACCTGATTTTCCCATAAAGAAGATAGAGAATGACAGATGATATGATGAGTATGAGAAAAAATGTTTGTCCTTTCTAATTCTTGGGTTGATCTCTGAAATCGTGTACCATTAATTCCCCTATGGCTAAAACTTATGTTAGGAAGTAATGCTTTCTACCTCAAACGTACGTTCATAAATCTTATTAAAGTTATTAAATACATACAGTTAAGTAAGGTTGCCCATTTAAATACAGAGTTAAGAAAATTACCATCCTTTCCTTGACCATATGATTAGTATCTCCTGTATGCACAAAGTTTGTTGTGCTGCCTTCGTTTCTTGCTTAACCAGCCAGTGAGACTTCCATTATGAAAAGAGATAGGAAATAAACTCTAAAGTTAATTGAAGATAAATTATTCAAATTAATTTTTCAGGATTATATATATAGCTTTTATGTATCAGAATGCTTATCTTAAAACAATCACCTTTATGCTAAATACAACTTTTGTCGTTAAACAGGAGACTATAGATAAGCAAATACATAATAAATTGTCTCAGCTTATTCATATTCAGTGTTTTTATATGGGAAAATCGTGTCTTAGTTATTTGATGTCCTTTTTTTTTTTTTAAGTGTATGAACCTGCCCTTCAAATCAAAATGCTGTTTTGTATGTTTTAATAGCTAATAAAATATCTCACTAATTGTTAGATTCTGTATAGTTAAGATACTGGAGCAATAGAGTAAGAACACTTATCAGAATGAGCTTTGGATAAAAATCCAAAGCCTTTTAAAAAAAAAATCAACGTCTTGAATTTTTTTCAAAAAATCCCGCTGTGATTTGGGCACCTCCATTTTTAGATTGCTTTTCTGGTGTCTACATATCTTTGAAAATCTGGTCCCCAGTTTTATCATCCTTCCCAATTTGTTCATTGGTTAGTCATTGTTTTCTGCCTTTTTCAAGTCCCACACCGTTATCATATTTGAATGAATGAATCTAATGTAAAGGCTGTTTATAGCATTAGCTTTGCAGAAAAAAATTCTGGAAAAAATCTAAAAGTAAAAAATTAAAATTAGAATGAAAATATGTACAGCACAGCCAAAAGCATTGCTTTTACCTGAACAATTAGAAGAAGTTCAGGCTGGGATATGTCCTCCCAAAATCTGTTTAGCTAATGCTTGAAAAAAAGAAAATGTGGTAAAATAACTTTAAAGAAGCAAAAAGCATTTTCCAAGCTTTACTGCTGAAGAGAAAATGGAAGAAGTTTAGTCTAAAAGTCTTGCTGCTTTGGCTGGGAGATGACTAAGGGAAAACAACCTCTCAGCTCCACTCCCTTTAGATACGGGATGGTTTGAGGAAACAAAGCGATAGACCCTTGCAGCTATAGAATAGGCTGGTGCAGCCTAAGTACAAAAGAAGAAGGCCTCCTGCAATCAAGACAGACAGATGGCAATTGGAAGGCCCAGCAGCAGAAGTGCTATATACATAGACTAGATCTTGGCAGGAGCCAATTTGGAGCAGAAGTAATTAATTTTTTGAGAGCAGTAGATCAGATAACGTGCAACTCGTGCTTTCTCAGACTGTCCTCGTGCCGGAGTGCTGATATGAAATAATTTCATTTGTGCTTTTGAAAGCATGCCAGGATTGCGATCTGATAGAAACTACATACTTGACCCTCCTCTCTGAAATACGTTGAATACACGTATGGCTGAATTGTAATCTCAGTAATCACTGAGAAGGAAGCTAGAATATTCCACTTGAGCTAATGGAAGCGGGATAATTGTTACAAGAACAGAGAGAGTGTTCTTAAGCAACGGTGTGTTGCTGTCCCTCCTAAGTTGTCAGTTGTAGGCAACTGCTGAATTACTCATCTAGGGTGGGGAAGGAATTTTAGGTTGTCTTTATTCTTCATCACTCTGTATTTTTCAGGAAAATACATCAGGGGTTTTTGGCTCATTATCACATGTTAATTTATCAACAGAATATTGATTCACAGTTGCTCACAAATTGTGTTTCATTTTTTTTTAAATTTCTGAAGCTATTTCTGTAGCTATTTCTATGAGAAAAAATATTCTCTCCTTCAACAGTATATAAATTGATCTATCTTACTTTGCTCAGGAAGACTATAGGACAAGTATGATCATATATAGATTTTAAAAATTTCTGCAAGAATTGCTGTCTTTGAAACAGTGTGGGTTGTCTGAAGGGATGTAGTGCATGGGGAATAGTAGAGGGATGGTTTCTTAGCTCTATTAAATTTTTTTAATTCAGCAGAGACTGATACCTAAAATCAGTACCACTTCCTTAATCTGGTATGTTGCCTGCGTTATGTAAGAGCAAATTAAAACGTGTCTTAGGACTGGCAGATGGATGTAAATTTTCACTGCATATGGAAACTAACTATAGCCACCTCTTGGGAGGAAGCTGTTTTCTTAAAGTCAAGATCGGAAGCACGTTTGCATGAGTAGGCATGTCATTCTGCTAGGTATGTATTGTGATCTTGGATATTTGGAAAATCTGAATTACCAGGATATTAAACCTAGCACCTGCATACTTGAGGCTCTTGCATATTGCTTTGAGAAACACGGGGAAATGTTTAAATGTGGGGAGTATTGTTGTTTAGTAGTTGCTTGTTCTCAAGTCTATTTTTTCCCCTCTCTAGATAGGTATAGAAATGTTTAACTGAGGCTTTGTATGCTCTTCATAATAGAAACATGTATCTTAGAATAAGGCATGGCAGCAAAAGTATTTTGTATTAATCAATGAAAAGTATTGTGCATATACTGTGTTCCAGTAGAAACAAATCCAATCTTTGCATTCTGTAGATGCAGTACCCCTCTTCTTGAGACTACTTCATTCACCACACCAGAATGTTTGTGAGCAAGCTGTCTGGGCTCTTGGAAATATTATAGGTAACTCTTGTGGTTATTATAATTATTTGAATTCAGGGAGTGTTTCATTTTAGAATTTGACTTTTTGAACATTGGCATTATCATATGAGACTATGTTTCCTCTAAATTCTGTGGCTTAATATAATTTTTCATGTGGCCAGAATTACATATGTACATCCTATTTTTTTCTAAAGAATAGTATCACTTACTGCACAAAATATTAACAGGATAAATTTTGTGTCTCGTAAAATATACATACATATCTCTAAGTATGTATATTTAATTGAACACGAACTGTTAGTAGTAGACTATTGGTGAGGAAACATAGAATTTCAGGATCCCGACATGTCATTGCATACATTTCAGGATTTTCCATTTTTAATGTAATTTCTTTTACAACAATTTTCATTTCTGTAGGTGATGGTCCTCAGTGTAGAGATTATGTCATATCACTGGGAGTTGTCAAACCTCTTCTGTCCTTCATCAATCCCTCCATTCCCATCACCTTCCTTCGGAACGTCACATGGGTCATTGTAAATCTCTGCAGGAATAAGGACCCCCCACCGCCTATGGAGACAGTTCAGGAGGTAAATACAGAATTACGAGACAGATCATTTTTTTATACTCTGGGCTAGAGGCCAAATGTTTTACATTGTCATACTATGAATTTATGCATTTTTTTTTCCACTGTCTTGTGCCACTTAGCAGTTGTTAAATGAAGTAATTTGACCAATTAGATGCTTCTTACTAAGGCTGTAATAAATAATCTTACTCTGAAACTGAGTAAGATTAAAGACCGATGGGCCATATATTAAAATGGACACAATAAAAACTTAACACACTAGAAAGTGTTAATATACTCAGCATTTCATGTTTTTATCAAAAAAAAAAGGCTGAGAATGTGATTCTGTCAAATGTAATTATTTTCAGTAAGAGGAAATGTAAGTAAACTAGGCAATGTAGAGTAGTTTGTGTTTCGACTAGCTGTGAACATGCAGTCAATGTCAAGTGCCTACTTGAGAAGAGAAGCATCTGAAAATCCTTTTAAACTGGTGAACAGAGCAAATGCATTGTTTGTAGAGTAGGCACAGCTAGTAAAGTGATGCTATTTGACTGGAACTGTAGTTGTAATGTGTGTAAAGTTCTTCATTTTAAGATAAATTCCAAAGCGTAGACATAGTTTTTGAATCCATGTGAAGTACAATATTGTTAGCAGCTAAGCTTTAATGAAATTTTAAAAATGAAGCAGAGAACGGGGAAACTTTTAAAAGTAATACTTTACCAAATAGAAACCCCTGTTCTAAGCAGTCTTATCATGGCTCAGCTTTATATTTTCTCCATATGTGAATACAAAAATAATAATTTACTTTAATCCAAGAGGGTTTTATATATCAGTATTAGGCTAATTATTTTTATTATATTGTGTGTTAACAAAGCTTTCAAAATACCAGGGGGATATCTTATCTCTGTTGTTTGCTTGTTTTCCCTCAAAATATAGTCTGCTCTCTGTGTGTCTTTGAAATATAGTACTGTCTTGTATTTTTACAAATTTTAAATATATATATTTTTATACATCCTTTGAGGGAATGACCAGCTGCTGGGAAGTGTGTGAATGCAATATGCTAATGCAGTCTCGAGTTAGGCTTTGTGACTGCAGTACTTGGATTCATGATTGTATAGCCAATTTTATTCTACTGTAATGACTGATGAACTTCTTTTCAGATTTTGCCAGCATTGTGTGTTCTCATTTACCATACAGATATAAACGTAAGTAATTTCTAAAATTTTAGATATTTAGATTCTTTGTTTTCTCTAGAGAGAAAATGCTGCAAGATTGTGTTTAAGTGGCAAACTTGGTTTTGTGTGTTAATTTATGTATAAGTGGTAAATGCACAATTTAATATGAAGACTAATATAATTGTCATTCAGAGCATGAAAAAGAAAGTGCAAACACGATTTCTGAAATATTTTTTCTAAAAGTTATTTTTATCCTTTACATTAGAAACTACGTTAAAAAATCCTATCTTGCGGGATTGAGCACTAGAATAAAGTGCCAGCTTCACTTCAAAGTACCATCAGCTTCACTTTAATTCTGCCTCAATTTATAATTTTGCACAGATGATATATAATGCATGTGTAGGAAAAAGATACATAATTCTACATATCAGTCCTATCAAATATTGTGATCATATGGATAAATCTGACTTTTGTAACCTGTTGGGTGCCTGACTTTGCAACTTGTTTAACTAAGGAAATCTCATACAAAAATATACTTAAATAAACAGCAATAAACTGTTTTTGCGGCACCTTTGACAACTTTTCTTCAGGCTTTTAATACTAAACCTTCAGTATTTCCCACATTCCTGATCCATGGGTTTACATGTATTTTCTGAGTGAAGTCCTAGAGGGGTGGACTTACCTCCTGAAGTCTTATACTGGGACATGAGGAACAAAGATCTGTGTAACTAAGGGATACTGAGCTGCTCTTCTCCTCCTCCTCCTGTCAGGACTTTGTAATGTCTTTGACTCTTGCTCCCTGTAGTGATCCTTCAATTTAGGGAAGCGGGAATTGAACCCTTGTGGTGGCCCTGGGGATAGAGCATAAGATTGGTGGAACTGTCTTTCGTTACTTCCACACTGTATTAGTGGTGTTTCTGCTGCTCTTTTAATGGTGAAGTGGGCTTAGCTCCACAAAATATTTGCAAACAGTTTAATTTGGGATTTTGCCAGGGTTTTCCCACTGTAATGTGAGTGGGAGACAGCACATGGTGACTTTCCAATTTGTAATTTGGACAAACCTGAATGGAAATTCATAGCAAAACCAAACATACTTCTAACCTGTAGGGTTTTTTCCCTGCCAAATGGAAAGCTTTTGCAAGCAATGATTGTGTGAGAGCTTCTTGAAGTAGATATGAGACTATGTGATGCCAGGTTTTGACTGATCTCAATTAGGGTGCCCGTCTTTTTGATCCTGAGAGTCAGGTGCTAGTTTGGAGGTACCAGTCTGGTCCCAGCCTCTCTGTACTGGAGCAGCAAACCTATCTTTGGAGATGAGTCAGTGATGCAGGTAGGTCAGCCAACAGTCCTGTGAGCGCTTCTGGCGGCTGCTGCTCTCGTCACCACTGCTGCGGGACAGCAAACCGGTGAGGCACCATCTCTCACTGCTTCTGCTGCAATACTGGCTCCACTGCAGCACGTTCTGGTGTCCCTGTGGCATTAGCCGGTGAGGGCAGCAGCAGGCTGTGCCAAGAAAGCATTAGGTCTGTGCTGTCTGGTCCCTGGGGCTGGGTGGAAGCAGCCTGTGGGTCAGGACTTTAAAGTCCTTCCTATGTCTCCGTACCTTAGTATTTAGCTGTCTTAATAGCTGGAAATTTTAAATGGCTGTTTTAAAAGTAGAGTAGATCCAAGTACCTCAACAGATAATGTCCTCAGTGGGGCCCAGATTTCTCTTCCTGCAGTTCCTAACGTCGTCTCTAAGTGATGGGCTATCCCTCTTCCTGCTGGCTTTGTTTCTGCTTCAGATACTACCTTTCAATGACTGTTGTACCTTTCTTTTTTTGAGGGCTCTCAAATCACCCTTATCAAGTCATCAGTGACTTAGTCTTTATTTTCTTTAAGATACTAAGGTGGTCCTGCATGATGGTAATTTCTCTGTGGATTTTCACTTTGCTTGAACAGTTGCCACCTTACAATAGTTGCTAGTCCTTTAGTTGGTATAAGAACTTCTTTCCTTTGCTGTGGATTTTAATCTTAATATGAAGGCAAAAAACGGGCATACATCCAGAATAATTTACAGTTTCATTTCAGAACTGCACTGTGGATCAGAAATGCTAAGGTCTAGATAGATGGATTAGAGACTAAGGGGACTTAGGTATTCTGTAATCAAAAGAGCACAGCTAACAAATTATAGCAGTGCTAGGAGGCTGGGTCGGTATTTTCCTCAGAAAGTTACTAGCACAACTACTTATCTGAGCTGGTTGTCTATCTTTGAAATGCAAATCAAGCCCAACAGTTTACCTTTGTGAGATGCTGTATGCTGTCACTTTATGCACCCAAATGTGGTATTTAATTTTAAAAAAGTTTGAGAGGACATACAGAAATTATTATTATGGAACAAATGGCCCCAGTTTTCATAGTTGTACATAATAATCTAACATTTTACTAATTGGGTCTCATCATAATGTTTGAGTTCTTCCTGTAACTGAATTGCATGCTCTCCCCACCCCCCCTCCACCCCAAGACACATGGAATGTTGTTCACTAAATTAAGAGTCCATTACGTGGATTTTACTGTTCAATGTGTAAACCATGGTCTTTCCAATTTGTAGATTCTTGTGGACACTGTTTGGGCTTTGTCCTACTTAACAGACGGTGGAAATGAACAGATACAAATGGTGATTGATTCAGGAGTTGTACCTTTTCTAGTTCCCCTTCTGAGTCATCAGGAGGTTAAAGTTCAAGTAAGTCTGGTTCAGTTGCTATTGAATAGCCCTTTGTAAGGTATTTTCTAAAAAATGTGCCTTAGAGTATTTATTAGTGGAGTACTGAGATGAGCATTTATAGCTACATTTGTTGTGGGTAAAACTGAAGAAAAAAATGTTACCTACACCAGGGAAAAAAGATTATTAAAATGAAAGAAAACTCAAACAAAACAGTTCTAATATAGTTCTAGGTAAAGTGACAGGTTAAACGTTAACTTCCATTGTGTGATTACCAGGGGTGCCTTCCTTTTGTAGTCCTAAAATATTTAATGACAACAGGTTTTACATTTTCCAGAATTCAAGTTATATGCACTCTCTTCTGTTGCTGCGTGCATGGTTGTGCATATTCTGTCTGAATAGCTCATGGAAATCAATTAATATTTTGGGACCTTTTGAATGTTAAAATATTTGCAGATGGCAAGTCCTTTCAGTAAAGTAAATTTCTAATTATTACAAAAGGTAGGTTAACTAAGGTGGTTTGATTAATTTCAAAGACAAAGGGAAACTAAAAGTTAGTTAATGTGTGCTTGATTTTTATAAACCAAGAATTGTAATTGGGAGCCTTTTTATGTATCTCTGCATTTGTCGTGTTTTGTTTAGTTTGTACTTTGGATGAGACTTGGCTGTCTTGAAATTTGTCAGACCAATTGACTTGATGAAAAGGAGTCTCTCCAGTATTCTGTCACTTGTAAAGCATTTACTAACCAATACATAAAGATATGAAGTCCATTTTAGAAAGTCAACTGAGAGTCAGTAAGAAGAAAAATAGTTGTGGGTTTTTTAATTCTGTAGTGGAGAGCTGAATGGAGAAGTAAGCAACCTTGACAGACAAAGTCAAAGCCTAGAAATAGTGTAATTGTAACTCGGATCAGATACATGATGAATTAACTCTTCCATTGTTTTAATACTCTTTTAATTTCTAATCTTTACACTTTTTGAGTTGAGCTGCAGTGTGTCTATTCAGTAAAATGCTGTACTGTGTGTTTCTGTTTTGATGAAACAGTACCCATTTTTAGGATGTAGCTTAGAGGATGAAGTGCTAAATTGTATTTTGCGAAGTGTTTCTATAAAGAGATGTCTTAAAATGATCTTTGTTTTAGTATAAGTAACAGCAATGTCTTTAACATGCAATTTTTTTTCCTCCCCGCTTTGGATATTCAGACAGCAGCACTGAGAGCAGTAGGCAACATAGTAACTGGTACTGATGAACAGACACAAGTTGTTCTCAATTGTGATGTTTTGTCTTATTTCCCAAACCTCCTGACGCATCCAAAAGAGAAGATAAACAAGGTATGATTTGTTTCTTCCTAACTTAATCTTTTTGTTTAAGAAATTGAACAGTAGTCTGTAGAATATTACAGAAGAATTTCTTACAGCTATAACTTCCAGCATGTGAGCAATTTCGTATAAAGACACAGCCTTTGAGGCTGGTGCTTAATTAGGGCTAAAGCCAAACAGCCGTGGTGAGGATCCATGCGTTGGTGTTGATGCCTAGTGCTTTTTGGGAGGACTGATGGCTTTTGCTTTGGAGCGTGAAACTTTTTTTTTTTTCATTTGCAAAGTGAGTAACTGGCTAACTTGCATTATAGTTTTTCATAACTAGAGTGTTACTTTTGGTTGAGTCCAGTGAGTTGAGTAAGACTGATCTGTTTTTTCCACTCCACCTTTTCATAGTGGAGTTTGTTCTCTCGGCCATCTTCACCTTCACGCAAGTAGGGAGTACCACTGTCCTTTTCTGAAAATGGTCCCTGCATTTCCTCTCCTTCCTTTTGGCAGAGGTAACTTGCTGCTGCAAGAACTGGATGGAATAGGGGGAGTTAGATGAAAATGATCAGTGCCCTCTTTTCCACAGCTGTATTTCATGTTATTTGCATTTTTTTTTTAAAATCACAGTGCCATCTTCCACTGCAAAGATGGGGCTGGCTGAGGAGGAGGCTTTTTTGTTTAGCTTATGTGATTCCCCCATTTAGTGTACCACTGAGGGGGAAACTATTTGTGAGGAATCTGTTTCTTCAGGCCCTGTCAACTGCCAAGAGGTCTGAAGAAGTTATCTTTGACAGTTCAAACTGCTGTGATTTGTTTCTGCCTGCCCTTCTAGCTCTCGGAAAAGAATGATGAAGAGCTCCTTTTGAATGCCAGGAGAGGAATTATTTTTGTATAATTGGAGTCTGTAAATGCTTTGAGTTTTGCTTTAAGTGTGTGTTGAGGGGCAAATACAAATAAAAGCCAGATACACATCTCTAAAAAAATGGAACCCATTATGGTTTTTTTCCTGAAGTACTTCATAATTGGCTGCTTGCCATATCTGTTTGGCTTTTTTACTTAAGATTGGAGCCTTTTTAAGATGTTCTGGATTGCCTTGACAGGCATCCATCCCCCTTTGTAACCGGGAATTTGTAACTGCCATTAGATAGATGTTAGCTATGCCGATGAATCACCTGAAGGAGATAACTGCCTGAGTAAGGTCTCAGGACTGAGAGTCCTGTCCGATACTTAATGGGAGGCCTTGAATGAGCTTTCTGAGCTCAACTTCATGTTTCAGGAAGAAAACGGGAGCTGGAGTTGGTCTTGCTTGTATCAGCACAGAAAGCTACTACTGAGCTGTTAAGTCAAATGTTACAGGATAAGTCCTTTTTTATATGAGGTTTTACCAGTTTTCCTATTTTCTTTGCAAAACTGATCTCAAGTTTAACACATGGCTGTGCCTTCAGCAGTGCAAAGTGCATATGAGGTTTAAGTCAGTATTGCTCCCAGTGTGTGGAGACACTCCTTGTGTAAGTAATAATCTGGCCCTGTGAATTAATCATATCCATTTTACATTGATCCCCTGTGTGTTTGGCTTTTACAGTGCAATAAAAGTTTGTGTGCTAAAAATGCTATTGGGGAGGAAGCCTGGAGACTCTGTTTAGTGATTGGTCATGGTACAATTTTAGGTTTTGAGGTTGTTTTGTTTGGGGTTTTTTTTCATCTGTTGACTATTTTTTTAAAAAAGTGTTTTGCTTTTTTATTTTGTCCAATTGTAGGAAGCAGTTTGGTTCCTTTCCAATATCACAGCAGGAAACCAGCAACAAGTTCAGGCTGTAATAGATGCTGGGCTAATCCCTATGATCATACACCAGCTGGCTAAGGTCAGTCAAACTAGCAGCTATGCAAGTTGTCATCCTCTTTTTATACATCTGACATGAGGAGTCTGATTTTTAATAATAAGCTTGACAGATGTTTCCATGCTGATTTTAACGAGCTATTAATTTTATTTTTCAGGGGGACTTTGGAACACAAAAGGAAGCTGCTTGGGCAATTAGCAATTTGACAATAAGTGGGAGAAAAGATCAGGTATGTCTAGTGGGATTTCAAATTGTCACTAAAACATTGCACATGCAACCATTTGTAAGAAGCACAATGTTGAAAGCACGTTTTTTTCATTATTTAGGTTGAATACCTTGTACAGCAAAATGTAATCCCACCATTCTGCAATCTACTCTCAGTAAAGGATTCTCAAGTGGTACAGGTGGTGCTGGATGGTCTGAAAAACATCCTGATAATGGCTGGTGATGAGGCTAGCACAATAGCTGAAATTATAGAAGAGTGTGGAGGTAAGTGCTTATTAGGCTTTAAAAAAAAAATAATTTGCTGGATATTATTCCGTCTTCCCCTTGCTGCTCTTGATATTTACTACAGCATTTTTTTACCATGGGCTATTTGAATTAAGCAAGTGAGACTTTTGTAATGAGAGAAAGGACTTCTTTTTTCTATTTAGTTCAGTTTAGAGATGGTCATGTTGGAGGCAATTGTTGAAGGAGCTTTCTGTAGCTTAGGTATTTTTTAGGTTTAAATGAGAATTGTACTACTTTTCATTTGATTATGGCGTATTGAATAATGCAATATTATTTGATTCTTGCTTTAGTTCATTGCCTTGGAAGCGGTTGTTAGGATCATAATTTTGTTACAGACCAAAGCAGGATGGAGGAGTATTTTGGATATTGCAATCCAAGTTTTAACACATGCTAATTAATGTATTATAGTAACATAGCAGTTAAAGCGATATTGAAGAACATGCTATACTGGATGTTTTTCCCTTGTATTATTCCATATCCAGTTTGAAAATGGGACTAGTGTTTTAAGCTGCTCTTGGTGTGAGGCTTTGTTGCCTTGTTGTTTTAAACTTGTATGCAACACACAAATATAGCCACTTCCTTTTGGTGATACACAGAAAGCGCAATGACTGAAACAAAAACTATGCAGTAGACAGAAGAAGTCTTTAAAAAATTAAATACAGAGAGTTTTATCTAAAAAGAGAGAAGATTTTCATTATCCCTTGTTCATAAAATGGGATATTCCATGGCATGCAAAGGTTCACAAACTACTTCTCTTGCCTCTTAGAGGCAAAGATAGCTACTGTGTAGATAATACTTGCAAACTGAACTACATCTTTTCTAGTATGTTTCAGTAGTAATGTTTCATCTTTTTTTTTAGTTTTTTCAAAGTAGTCAGTAGCTCCAGTTTAAACTTATGAAACTCTTCTCCATTTTCTTTTATTCAGGGTTAGAGAAAATCGAAGCTTTGCAACAGCATGAGAATGAAGACATTTATAAACTAGCATTTGAAATCATAGATCAGTATTTCTCTGGTGATGATGTAAGTATGCTAAAGATTGAAGAGTATATGTGCTGTGCTGTTGGCTTAGTATATTGTCGTTGTTCCTCAGTTCCAGTTGTCATGAACATAGGTTATCTGTGAAGTCAGTTTTTCTGCTCCTTTTTCAGTACAGCTTCCCTTAAGTGAAAGTCTTTGAAGAGTTTCTCAATACCAAGAATTTTCTTTAGTGACATCAAGATGACTACTCTGTTTTTGCCTAATAAATTGATTGACACTGACCAAATTTTGTCACATTGGCATGTAAACAGACGTATAATTACTTGTGATTGGAATCTAAACAGTTCTCTGGATCTCCTTTTTACTTCCTCATGCATGTGTCTTTGGAGGGGGGTGGACCCTTACTTTCAGATAGACACTGTATTTCAGCTCTGTAATTGCTCAGTCTGGATTCTGCGTTGAAAAGAGTCTTCAAAACTGTTAACACTTTCTGCAACTGATTGATCTAGTCATCTGGTATTTTGTTGCACCCTGATTAGGTATTTTGACCCTTTCGGTTCTAGCTTTTTCTGCTACTGGCTGCTTGTGAGTGCCTCAGAAGCACTTCAGCGAGCAATTTGAAGACAAATAATTATCTTTTCTAGGCCATCCAGGGTGTCTGTAGTTCTGCAGCCTAGCAGAACTATGTCTTCAGTTCTTCTCTTAAATTGAACTCTCCAGATATCAGCTCCAATGAGTCTTTAGGACTCACTAATTTTCAATTCATGGGCCCATCATGTGATTGCAAAATTAGTCACTAGAAGTTAAGATATGTGAAAAGTTCCCTGTGCTTGTAATGATTCTGTGAGCAGTGTCTAATAGTCTCCATAATGTCCCTGAGAGTTCTGTAGCTAACTGAAGAGCACAGTCTAATTGGTGTGAGTGGAAATATATCCCTTTTGAGGTTAGTACTCCCTTTTGTGCATTTACTTTTTACATAAACTAACGCAATTTAATCTTTGCCTGATTTGCTGACTTCCTTTACTCAGGAGCAAGACTTTACTTCAGATTGCTGTTTATATTGTTACTACGTTTTCTGGGGCTTCTGAAACTCGAAATCGTAGAAACTCCATGATTGGGAGACAGGAGTTAAAACATAAAGCCAGGCAAATTTTCAGGCAGTAACTATAAGTAGGAAAATAACCTTTGTTGCTTGAGGACTGGTGCATAAAAAAAAAACAGAAGAAAAAGAAAATCCGAATTGCCCTAGGGAGACAAGAGACTGGTTATGTTGGCCTGCTTGGCAGTGTTAAGATTGACTGCCCAGGAGTATTCCTGCTTTCTGTCATTTCAGGATCTTCTGTATTCTCATGAGATGTTGCTGGCTACTAGATATCCCTTAATTGTTAATCCCATCTGCTCCTTTGCTGAGTGCTGTAAAGTGCACGGGCATGTACTTTAGGACCAGCACTAATGGCTTCCTGACTTGACTTTATTGTGTTAAAGGCATGTGAACTCAGGTAGTGTTACTTTGTAGTACCCCTGCAGAAGGCAGAAGTGCTAATTTTATCAACTCGGAAACATTTTGCAAAGCATTCTGAAACCAGATTCGATCTTCATTTGGGCATGACATGCCCCACTCTTCCTCCTGCGGATTGTTGCTGTCACCAAAGGCCTTAATCTCTCCCTCCAATTTAGGTATTGTCACCCAAAGTAAAGAGAAACAAAGATTTTAGGTAAGTCAGTTCTAATGTCCGCAGTACTCCAAGGCTGGATCTCAGAAAGCTACTTAGACCCCACACACAAGGGCTCTTACCTGCTTCAGAAAGACACACGGTTTGAAACGAGGCATATGGTTCCTGCAGCCTGGTTTGTGGAGGCAGCATGTTCAGAGAATAGATGCAGCTGGTGATTTGGAGGAGGATGGGTAGGGTTTGAAGTTGTGCATATTGATTCTACTGACCATGTTATTTGCTGTTCCTAGAGGCAGCAAATACCTAAATCCTAACAGTTCTGAGGAAGTTGGGTGAAGCTGAATACTGATGCCTTTCATTCTATATCCATAGAGTAATGAAGTACTTTTGGTTTTAAAAAAAGTTTCAGATTGCACTTATGAGAGCTATATAAAACTGCTCTGAAATGAGTAATTCTAAATCCTTCAGATTCTGGTAGGAGATACTGAGTACTCTTTTAAGCTTTATATAAGTATTTCTATCAGCTGCCAATAAAAATCATTTTCAGGTTGAAAGAAAACGGGAGAAAGTACAAAACTAATTTTGGAATTCACAACTAGTGATTAGCCAGCTCCAGAAGTACTAAAAATTGGCATTGAAAATTGAATCGCACCGCTAAAATAGCAACTGCTTTGACCAAGCAGCAACCCCATCTCTAACCATTACAATTTTCTGTTTCCCTAATGGTGTTAGAACAGAGTTGATTTGTTGTTCTTTTTAAGCATATTTGAGGAATTGAATTGGAAAAACTGATCTAATTATATGGCAATAATATTTAAAAAAAAAAATGAACATTTGTGAATCTCTTCTATGTGTACTGAATTGTGCAGGGAATTGGCCTCTCATGTATTTTTGTTGTTGTATTTTATAGATTGATGAAGATCCCAGTCTCATTCCTGAAGCCACTCAAGGAGGTACTTACAACTTTGACCCAACGGCCAACCTTCAAACAAAAGAATTTAATTTTTAAGTTCGAAAAAGTGCAGCTTCTCTGTCCCACACCAGTATGAAGCACCACCAGATGGCTACCAAGTGAAGAAACAAAAGGCTCCAAGACACACATGCCTCTTCGTTTTGATGCTTCTAAAGCAAGCCATGTATCGGTCACTTTGCAGTTGCCAAACGTCACTATCACATGGACTGTAAATGCATATGCATGATCTCTTAAACTGTTTCAGAATTCTTTTTAACAGTCCCAACTACCTTTTTTTGCCTTTTTCCTGGTGCCACATGCTGACAACCGCAATCTGCAGTTTTGTTAAGAATATTCCATAGTGGTGGCACATTGGCTTTCCACGGAAAAGTAGCTTCTTTGGAAAATGGTGCGCTGTGGATCAAGACACTTTGGTATGATGCGTACATTCTGGAAGACTTTACAGGGGCCCAGTTTGCTCTGAGCCTCCATCATCGTCCTCCACAAACATACTTTCATATACTTTATGTGGAAGAATAGATTCAAAAATGCAAGCCAAATGAATTTCATTGGTGAAACTGAAATAAAAGTAACTTAAAAAAAAAAAACACTTGGCAATTGATTAAACACTTAAGTTTAAAACAAACAAAAAAACTACTTCAGCTATCAGTAATTGATGTGTGTTCATTAACTGCCTCAGAAACCAGGGTTGGAGAATGAACTGTAGATTTGGACTGGTAAAGCTTTTGCCATTATACCTAATTTTTGAGAACAGCGAGCCCTATTTGACCACTCACTTCAGCCTGTGTGTTCCTGCTGTTTTGAAGTAATCAAATGCTGTGCATGGTATTTTACCTGAGCTACAACCTGTTATGGACTTGAACTTCTGTTTAAGCTGAAAGCAAGAGTCCCAGATGGTAGAAAAAAAAAAAATTCTCTCCAAAAATGTATTAGTTAAAAAGAATCTTGCTTTCAACTTTCAGTAGTCAATATATTTTGTTTTAAATTGATAATTGGATATGGTTGATTTATATTGGGTTTAAACTGTGGAGCTTTCATGTTTACTGTAATTTAGTCTTAAACTATTTTTTACTTAGTAACCAGTGCTTATGATGATGTGGTTGGCAACAAACCAGCAACTACTTAGAAGCGTCATAAAAGCTTCATTCTTGGAGTATCGGAAG